GTTGATAGTATTTGAGTAAAAAATTATTCAAGACCAATATTTTGCAATGTTTAGTAATTAATATTTTGTTAACTATTGCGAAAATTGTAAAATGCTAGAGGACTTTTCGACTCATTAGTCCGCTCTATCTACATAAAAGTGATTGCCAAAAAAGGTCGGGACATCCTGTACAGCTTTAGCCAAAAATAGTAGGCTTCTTATTAATAATTATTTGAAATTTTCACTCAAAAATTGATTTATATTTACTGCAAATTATCCTTATTGTTAGTTTCAAGAATCCTTTAAACTTATGTAATACTGACAACCAATAATGCATGTAAAAGAATTCCAGATAAATAAAAAAATGTAAATGCCTAATATTTTTGGCCAAGACTGTATTTAAGATTGTGACTGTATTTAAGATTGTGACAAGCTTCGGGTGATAGTCCTGTTTTTTTCCTGGTTAATGAAATAATACAATGTGTCGAGTTATGAATACTGTCTACACATCATCGTGTGAAATATTCGTCACAAAGCACAAAGGGTTAGTTAAAGGGATAACGCGACACATGACTCACCCTTTATTTTGAAAGCTTTTCACTCGTGGCACTGTCATTGCTCCAACGCACTAACGACACTGTCGCGGTGGGGTATTTTTCGTTTATCGCTGGTATCATATTTTTAGCCAGTGCATTATATAAGTGCACGTGGATAAGCAGGTAGTCAGAGCATGTCATCTCCTTCGCTCGCTTTACAATATGCGCCTTGTCTGTGCGTTACATACTAATAAGCAATGATAATTAACATGCACTCTTTCTCTTTTTTCTGCAGTTTATTATGTAATTATGTTATATTTTATTATATTTCATTTATAAAATACGGCAATTTAATTGAAATTGAATATATTCAACCTATTTTCTTATTAATTATTATGTAATATTGACCGTTGTTGGTTTTAACAAACTATTAGATAGATACACATTCTTTAGCAATAATTAATTTTTTTATTAACTTTTGCATATACAAATTTACAGTTTTATCAAGATTTCTACAAAATTTAATAACAACGTTGTATATTTGTTATTTGGCCGATATTCATAGTCGATTAGTTTTTATATTTCAGTCTTAAGATGCCATAAACTAATAAAGAGGACACCGTTTCTTAAGACATTACATAAGACGACCTTAAAATGATCTAAAAATAAGAACCAACAATGAATACTGGTCAATAAATTATGAATCATAACAAAAATATTTCACATTCATAATATATTCAAAAATTGAACTTTCACTTGGATATGCATAACCGTAAGATGTCATTCCTCATTGTATGATTCCTATTCTTCATAATTTGTCAATTTTCTCTCTCAACTGGAAATGTATTATTTAACTGTATTTCTTAAGAAATTTGATGTGGAATAGCTTCAGCGTTTCGAGCATTGTTTCGATTTTCTTCTTTTGCGGCAGTATCGTAGTGCGGAAATGATTCGTACCAGGTATTTGACCGAAGTATGAACCTGGGAGCACTAAAATCCCAGTATTCTCTAATAATTCGGACGCGTAGAAGACGTCTGGTTCCTGGCCTTTCGCTCGCGCTGCCTCAATCGCCTTCGATGGCAGCTCGAAGCGTGGAAACGCGTACATCGCACCCATCGGCGGATTTGCCTCGAAAGGAAAAAATATTGTAAAAATATCGAATAGCTTTCATTATCTATTTCGCGAAAGGATAGTTACTTTATATCCTGGAATATTATTGAGTATGTCGTCAATGAGCTGCGATTTCTCCGCAAGTGAACGCAAGAATTTTTCCTTCTCCTTCTGGAACAGTTCGAACGATTGCTCATTCGATCGCGGTGGAATCATTACAACGTCCAACACAATCTGGCCGAGCACGGTAGGATATATCGTAGAAATTGACTTCAATAGCACCTTCATCACTTTCGGATCCATGTTAATGATTTCAGCGTAACCGCCACGGATCCCACACTCACCATATATCCTAAAACCGAAATGCTTCAACATGGAATGCTTCTGTAATTTCCCGAAAAATCAATTCAAGGATTTAACTTGGTACCTACACGAACAGAATTTTCTTTTAAAATTTACTCTAAAAATATGGTAACTGTGGTACAATATACAATATTAAAAAAATTTTTACCATCCACTTCAGTAAAATTTTACGTCCGGCGAGTAAATTTGCAGTAACAATGAGTTCAATGAATGTTCCATGCAACATAATACATATGTATTCATTAGAAATGTTTTTCTGTGCAAAGAGCCCTCCGCAGTGAAAATATATTAGATGATGAAAGTCCCAATAATTTTATTGAAAAAATTCCAGCCTAAACATTAACTTTCTGTGTTTGAACTTTCATACATATGTATGTAAGTTTCCAAGCAAAATTTGTATTGGAAATACATACTTATCTTTTTAATATTGCATATGTGTATATCTATTTATACCAGTTTAAGTTCTTCTAACTAATTGTTTAATATTTCTTCCGTTTTCTTCTCACTATTTGCTTAAAAATTTCCATCTTTTTTATTCAGT